CACAAACCCCGACTGAAGGGAAGTGGTTGGTTGACGGGTGCTCTGGTGTGGTTTTCTTCTTCCGTCCTATCCAACATCTATCGTTTCTATCTCTTCTCCGTCGTTTTTTTGTGTGTTTGTTACTCGCTTGTAACACCTCTAATCTCCGGCACTTTTATGACATAATTGTGCTGCAAATGCCGTAAAACGCTTACTAAACCAAAAACAAAGACTTGGGATGGAAAAGAACTCTCAAGGCAAAGGGTAGGCCTACACACATGTGTGTGGGGAGGGGGTGGGGACAGGTGAGGGGAGTAGGGGGAGTAGGAGGGAAAGGAAGGGATTGGGGGGGGGGGGGGAGATGGTCAAGTGAATTTAGTAAGAGATGATTTTTCCAGGAGGGCATTAGGGATTTAAGCAAGAAAGAGCACCATAGCAAAACGCACGGTAGATCTATCCTTTTACCACAGAACTGAGAAGCATTGGGGAAGGGGGGGGGGCTTATTCTCTGAAAACTATTTTTGTGCTTAAAATCGAGTGATATAGTGCATTTTTGAGAGAAAATCTTAGAATATTATCACGACAATTAATACTTATAAGATTATGGAGTGGACGCCGACGGGGTGTTCCGGAAGTGCCCAGATTTGGCGAAGATCTAGTGTGTTTTGCAATGGAACTCTTCAAAACAAAGTTACTGTGAGTAAATATATTATGGCATTTGTATAGTCTTAAGCATACATATTGGATTGTATTATTTAAAGCTTCTTACACAAAATTTGCAAATAGGTGCCGGTAACTGGTGTGTAAATATATAATGGACATAAATTGCTCTGAAAATATTTTCATAGAAACCGCGAGAGAATAAATAAAAAATAAAAAAAGAGAAATATTATACCAGTGGATGTGTCCACACATGAGAACATGGTATAAACAATGAACGATGAAGATAAAGCATTATATCTGTGTCGTGGCGTGGTGGAATCATGCGTTCGTCAGTTTTTTTTGGCATATGGAGTTATTCCAATTAGCTTATGCTTGCTCAATTGTCTTTTTAAAAAAAAATTTTAACCCATCTATCTTGACTAGAAGTCAAGGTTTTTTAGACTGAAGGAGGCGGGAGTCACCTTGCGTCAGAGGTTATTATTAAGCGAGAAAATAGTCGCCAAAATTTGGTGGCTTCCAAAACTGCAGTGTTCTTGGAAACTGCACATAATTTACATATTGTGTACTTATAATCAACATATTTAATTAAAATCCAGGTAGGAATGTGTTTTAAAATTAACATTAATGATGCTGAGCGCCTCCCCCCCCCCCCTAAAAAGAAGGAAAAAATGTAAATGAAAATTGCCCAACAGGTACAAAAATGTCGGTTCCTTCAATCTCATTATCTTGACAAGCGCCTTATTTCACCACGATACCTCACATATTCAACTAGATCACACGGAAGAAAAAATGAAAATATCCTGTAAACAAGTGCATTGGAAATACATATATTGTATAAAACAAGAAGAGCAAATAATCTGTAAACGCTGGCACTGTCGGTGACAACTTCACGGAATGTCGGACGACTCGGTCGGTGTATGTGCTTTCCAATCTGGAGAAATCTGGAGACAGTATGTGCGTTCCAATCTGGAGACAGTAGATGCGGTCCAATCTGGAGACAGTAGGTGCGTTCCAATCTGGACGCAGTTCTCAGAAGCACGAGAGACAGTGTCGTCGTCGTCGTCGTCGTCAAAAATGGCGAGTGATCGCCCCTTGCTTCAAGGCAAGATCCAAGCAACCACTAAGGACGACACACACACACAGAAACACGGTGTTGTGGACAGAGAGGTTGAAGGGGCGGGCGGGGGAGTGGGGAAGTGGGATGGAGTATACGAGTTGGGATTAAGGATTTTTTGTTTGTTTTTTTGGAAGGTGACGAGCGGTGGGGTAAAAAGATGTGAAGTAAAGTCAGGTGAGATGAGATCAGTCGAGATTTAGTGCAAAGAGATGATTGTGTGGTGAGATGAGGTAGGATCAAACCAAACGAGGTGAAACAAAATAAAATTCTTAATGTACCGTAAGTGTTTTTACGCCCCCCCCCCCCCTCCCCCAAAAAAAATGTTTTTAAAAAGCAGGCACAATTCATATTTTTAGGAGGTGGGCTTCGACCCTGCCTGCCAGGCACACCCCGGGCTGAGAGGGATACTCTATCCCAGCAGAAACACCGATATACTCGACAAAAGTTCTCTCAACTCGGAAAAGGAACTCGGGTCTCCTGCGTGCAACACCGAAGCTCCTAACCTCTACACCACAGACACCGGTAAACGAGGTGAGGTGAAAATAAACTGAGGTGAGATTGGGTAGGGTGAAGAGAGGTAAGGGTAAGGTGAGATGAGATTGTGAGAGGTGAAGAGAGGTAAAGAGAAGGGCAAGATGAGATTAAACTAAAATTGAAACGGTACCATAGCGTGTTACTACATTTTACTATGGGCAGTACGATGTGAAGTAAGATAAGATTAAATAAAATAAAATAAGATAAGATCATATAATTTATTGTCCTTGTGGGTGATGTGGGGGTGAGGCTGACGTAACGAAGGGACAGGCTTTCTTGCAAGCACTAGTATTACAGGCAGACTGTGGCAGACATGCATAGTGGTAGATAGACTCTATGACAAACAGACGCTGTCGCAGACAGACACTATTAGGAACAGACTCTCTGAGGGGCTCGCGCTATTACACATAGGCCCTGTTTCGAACTGACGTCATGGGGGAGGGGGGGAGGAGGGGACTCAATGGCTGACAGACATAATGATGGGCAGAAATAATGATGGACAGATATAATGGCAGACACACATAGTGGCAGACAGATGTAATGATAGACAAACATTTGATAAACAGACATCATGGCAGGCAGACATAATGATAGACAGACATTTTTGGTAACAGGCATAATGCTTGACAAGACAGACAGTATGGTAGACTGACTTTTATGATAGCAGACATAGTTATAAACAGACGTACTGGTTAGGAGGTATAATGGTTGACAGACATAGTGGCAAGAGACATAACGGAAGACACACATAATGGTAAACAGACATAATGATGGACAGACATAATGGTTGATAAGACAGACATAACGGACATAATGGTAGACACACATAATGGAAGACAGACATAATGGTAGACAGACAAATTGGCAGACTGGCTTAATGGTGCACAGACATAATGGTAGACAGACATAATATCAGAAAAACATAATGGTAGACAGACAAATGGGCAGACTGACATAATGGCACGCAGACATTATGGTAGACAGGCATAATATCAGAGAGACATAATGGTAGACAGACATAAGGGTAGGCAGATAGACGTTATGGCAGACAGACTCTATGATGGAAAGACGCTATGCCACACAAACCCTATGAGTACTTACTGGTAATAAAGACAAGAAGGGCAGGGTATGGCACAGTCTTGGAACCTAAAGAAAGAAAATAAAACCCGTGCAGGTCATGTGACAATCTCGTTATAACTGTGTCATGACACCGTAGAATCAGGCGCTCGTCAATATTTGGGCATATGGACTTATTGGTATAATTTTTTACACTTGGTCATTTGTTTCGCTTTTGATGAACAAATAGCTATTTTCTTGCATAAAAGCCAAGGTATTTGTCAATTAAAGGAAGGGGTGGGGTGGGGGGGGGGGG